CACCTAAGCGGGTTACCTCACCTACCTGGGGTCCCCCACCTCCATGTAAACAGGCCCTAAATTTTATTAATGTTTGAAAATCATTCAAATTATTCACCTCCAAGCCATGAAGTACAGTTGGCACTGATGGGTGTCTGGTGCATTTTTATTGTTTTCATGAACAAATTCTCTTTATACCGAGGGGACTGAAGTAAACAGTAGATTTCTTGCATGAGACGATGCCTGTGAAAATAACCAGGTGAACCAGTTTAGAGCTACAGTTAAACCCTGCTTTACGGACACCCGCTTAACCTTTTAAGTCCCAATAGTGACCAACATCAATTTTCTCCTAACAATATCCATATGTTGCCAAGAGAAATGGTTATGAGAGTTAATAAAATGATCACTAAAGAAAAAATGCTTTGATCTGTTAACAAACTCTCTCAACTAATTCTTTAAAGAAATGTATGAAGATCAGTAGGGAGAATTTATATGTGGACATTGGGGCTTAAAGGGTTACATAATATGGACAGTTTGCTTTGTCCCTGGGGTAAGAAGGCCCTTACATTGTCCCTAAATTCAACCCACTTAATACGGATGCCCCTTTATTAATACGGACACTTTCTATGGCCTCCTCAGTGTCCCTATTAACAGGATTTGACTGTACATTAATGATTGTGTCAATAAATCTACTGATTTAGGGGGTTAGGAAGAACACTGCAAATTTCCCTGAGCTGAACAGATCCTGCAAACAACTGGCCTCATGTGACAATAATAATTCTGAAATACGTGTAAGTTGATAAAGTAAGTTTACCCTAGAAGAAAATTGTTAAGCACTTGTATTTTGGTGCACTACATCTTATGCAGTCTCGAGTGGTATACCAAATGTTCATTTTTATTTAAAAGCATATTTCTGACTTCAAAGCTGATGAATCAAAATCCCAATGCAAGATGTTTCTTTAACAATTTATAACCCTTTCACAGTTCTTTTCAAGTTCTGATACATAGGGACCAGTTTTATCATTAGGGGATATAATTATATGTATCAACATTACTATGAAGAGCACCTTAAAATATTATTTTAGTAAACTTGCCAATTTTGAAAGTGATAATTATATTTGAAGCATGCAAAGGTACACCTTTGCAAAATCGTAAACGTTTACAATCTAAGGTGCTCCAACCAGACACACACGTCACCACATGTCTGTAAAATTTAGCCTCTTTGAGTATGACAAACGTATATGAAATAAATCAAATATGAGGCTTCTTATCCAATTGCATAAATTGCGTTTAGAACTGCGAGGATCATTCTTTATTTGATTAGCCACTTTGTAGAGTATATCTTCATTATTTGTCAAAATATCCCTCTCAAACTCAGCAACTCTACTAGTTTTAAGGTGCTCTTAGCAGCGGTGTTGACAGGTTTTTGCCAACTGGTCCATGTCAAAAGTTGAAAAAAAAAAGCGGAAGGGGCCATCTTTCCCTGCAAAATTATGAATAAGAATAATATTAAATTTATATAAATGGATTAAGGTAGGGATATATTTTACTCACTTGAAACCTGGTGTCATTACAGTTCCACCAATAAGAACTATGTTTTCTGCTAGTGGTTTTCTTGTATCAATTGGACACTACGAAAGGTAAGAAAAAAATTGGTAAAACAGTAAATTATATTACTGTTACAGTTTATTTTGACAAATAAAATAATTGCAGTCTCCCTACACAAGAAAAAATTACTAAATAAATTACATTGTTCTATGTGGGTATATTACTGTGGAGGAAGATGTCATGTTTTCTTTTCTAAAACCTCTTGGTGAGCTATCCCAGCAGCATTGACAAGATTGAAAAGTACATTGTACCTTTAGTAAGGAATCTAACAAACAGGTTGCAAGGGATTTTTCTTCTTCATCACCATCAAAAAGGATGTCAAATGTCTGTTCTCTGAAAAAATAAGTTAGCAAAAAGGTCAGCTGCCAATCCTATTTAGGAATAATGTGTGCAGAGGTTCAATTTATTTTAACCCTGTGCAGTGCCAGGTTTTGAAGGTTTGTATCTGCACTGCATTCTTGGACACAAAATTGTTGAAAAAGTCAAATTTTGAGACTCCTGAAGTTGTCCCGACTAAAGCACAAGAACCTGTTGATATCAGTCATTGTACTTAGTGCAAATGCTTTACAGAAATGCATAACAACAAACCCAAGGCGTCCCCAGGCCGTGACCTTAAGATCAACCCACAGTTAAAGCCAAATTTAAAGCCGAGTTTTTGTATCTGGAAATGCGTAACGATAGCTTATAAAAGATTTTAGCCTTAACTCTGCGACTCAGTTATAAAACAGAGGGTTCAAAAAAATTTTGAGTTCCAGCTTATCCTTTCGGCAAGAAGCTCTCACATTTTGCTTGCTGGCCGGGGCCACTTCTCACTCATCTTAGTTACTGCGCTTTTCAAAAACAAGCAAAGTTCAGAAGTTTAAAAGCCACCTAACATTTGCGTTTTTGCTGCTGTCAATCATCGTTGCAGACCTCTTAGGAGACAGAACTTTACTTTAACGGGTTCAGAAGGTCATGGTTTGTGATTTGTGATTGGTGGATTTCGATCCATTGTGTGTTTCTGTGTTTCAAAGTTCGTTGCTTGTGATCGTAATTATGATTGACAGCAGCGCAAAACAAACTTGTGAAGGTGGCTTTTGAACTTTGGAGTTTGTATGTTTGTGAAAAGTGCAGTAATGATTTCTTAGAGGATGACCCTTGCCTATTGTTAAGTAAGCTTTATAAGTTATTTGCCCGGCAAGAATTACTACCTGTCTTTGACTACCAGACAAGACTTTTTTCGAGCCATAACATAAAGTGGCACTCTAAAATTAACTAACCTGATTTGACCTTCAATCCTGAGTATCCTGCCCCCATCTAGTGGGTAGTCAACTTTTGGAACCAAAGAAGCTGGGCGTGGCTCTCCTTCAGGGCCACTAAACTTTGGTGCCACAAAGCAGGTACGAACTGAAAACAGTAAAATAATGGCATGGTTCGAGAAATACCCACAGTGACCATGTGGAGGGTTATTAGAAAATCCAAGTGGGGAGGGGAGTTTTTGAAGGTTAGTATTTTTAAAGGAAAGTATGAAGCTACACTGGAATTTTCCAAGTGGTGAAGTGGGTATGGATAATTATTTTCTGGAAATATAATGCACTCCGAAACCCTATCCCTGGGTACCCTCTTAGCCTGTCAGTTGTATGAGTTGGGGGATATTTTTGGCAGCAGAGCTAACAGTAGTTCCTCTCGTACATTAGCCGCTCCACCATCAAAATTTTTCTCCAAACTCACACAAGTGAGGACCATTCAATTTAATATGCTCACCCTACTTTGATGAAGGACTTTGAAATTTTCCTAACACTCAGAATGCTTTTTTCTCCCAAAGCACTCAGAAAAAATTCATCGATGAACAGATATCCCCCCAGAAAATTTGCCCTTCAAGTGAAATAGCTTTAAGAATTTTTTGCTTTTTTGCGACTTCCCCTCAGAAAATCTGGTCTTCAGTCCTACAATCTTCAGAATTCACTTTTTTATATACCTCCCCAGAAAACTCCATCAATGGGGGTGGGGGGGGGGGGGGGTTTTTTAAACGGCCCTAAGCCCTGGGGCCCCCCCCGTTTTCCCAAAAGAAAACGCCGGAAGGTTACCCACTTTTCTGATTTATAAAACTTTTTTTTTTTTTTTTTTTAAAAAAATTTTTTAAACAAATTGCAAATTTTTCGATTGTCGCTTATATGACTGTCAGCTTTTAGTCTTTTTTGTTTTTTTCCCAGTCCTCCTTAGATACCCTGTGTACATTTTTCATACTTTTGAGTTTTTTCTTGTCCTCACCCTCCCCCAGAAGGCGGCGGGGGGGGGGGGGGGGGGGGGGGGATGTATTAAACGGCCCTAAGCCCTGAGGGCCCACTCGTTTGCCCAAAAGAGACAGCATGAAGGTTACCGACTATTCTGAATTACTAATACTTTTTTTTTCATTATTGTAAAAAGATATTTTAATCATAATGCAATGTTACATGTACAAGAAAGGTTCATTAGACTTTCACCCAATATGGCAAATAGGTTGCACATAAAAATCGGCACATAATGATGTGGATTGAGGCAGTATATTTTTTGTTTTGGTCTGATATGTTGCTTATCAATTTCTTAAGGGAGAAGGGGTGTGCAAAGAGACATTTTTCAGCGATATTTTTATAAAAATATGTTTCACACTATTCAAATGATTTTGTCAAATCCTTTTAATAGCACTCTATAAACGATTTTTCCCTTTCAATTGTGATAAATTAAATAAAAGTTAAATAATCTCACCTTTTATGTCTTCTAAAGTTTCATTTCCAAGAGAGTCTGCAAAAAATTTAAAACAGTTAAGATCAGAGGTGTGGTATTTTTGTCTACAGATCTGCACCAAACAAATCAAAGTTTCTTATAATAATGTAACCAGGCATATGTATATTCAGTGTCTTACAAATTTCTGAATTCACACAATTACTATTGTACAGTGGTTAACTTAAATTTTTTCCCCTGTGTTTAACTTAAAGAATGTTCTCATGTCCAACTTAATGTCTAGCTTTTAAACCTTACTTTTAGCACCATTAAATGTTCTATCTGAAGGTCAACACTTCAACAACAGCTTTACACTCACTCACTACTGACGACAAAGGTTTTACTCCTGTTTCTATTTGAACAAGGCTTCTTTCCATGAGCTGCTCTTCTAGATGCCTGACAAATAAGCACAGTGAACCATTAATCTTTGTTCTACTATTATGTGATTATCCACATCACACAATAAAATGCTATCAACGGGTGTCTTAGTTGGTTTCATTACTGTGCTTTTCAATAACACGTAAATTTCAAATTTAAAAGCCAGCTTACATTTGTGTTTTTTGCTGATGTCAATCATTTTATTGCAATCACAAGCAATGAATCTTGAAAGACAGAAACATACAGAACTGATTGAAATCCACCAATCACAAATCACAAACCATGACCTTTCGAACTTATTCAAAAACACATATGTTTCCGAAGGGATCTGCTAAGATGATTGATGGCAGTAGAAAATGCAAACATTAGTTGGCTTTTGAACTTCAGAATTCAAGAGTTTTAGAAAAGAGCAGTATTAACAGAATGATTTAATTCTTACTAAACATTAAAAACCACTAACATACTGTCCTGGATTATTTAATTAATAATCTTACTTGTGAATAGCTTTCGATCCAAGGGGAATGGTTTGCACAGCTTTCAGAATAGCAGTACCCTCAAAGACGTAATACCAGCAGCAACAGAGTGTTAAGAGAAACACAGTCAGAAGTACACGCATGTAAAGGTAATAATAGGCAGATCTTACCGTGCTCAAGACATGCACTTCTCAAAGCTCAAAAGTATTACTGTACTAGGCAGAAGCATTATCAAAGCTAGTAGATGACATTCTTTGAGGAATTTATCAATTTTGTGTATGCCTCAATTTTTTTTTATTTTCTGTTCTTTGTTGTGAATGGTCTTGAAACAACAAACATTCCATGACGTCAAGGACTTCATGGATGATTTTTATTGTAATATGTACTAGCCTGTTCCAGGCATTCGGATAGTTGGGAGTGGCATGAATTAAAAAAGGGCGCGAAAAAATGAAAATGAGGGAGTGGGGAGAGGAGAGGGAACCTCACCACTCATCCCAACCTCCCCACTACTTTTCCCTGCTGTCTTTACTTTTTGCTAACTATCTGAATGCCTGAAACAGGCTATTGTAATACTTGTAAACTCCTTTGAAGATGAACTTAATTTATCAAACTATGGCTAAAACATTGTATGTTCTGTAGCCTGTTCCAGGTGTTCAGATGGTGGGGAGCGGGCAAAAAATTTGTTGAGCGTGGGCGAAAAATTGACGAGGGAAAAAATAGGATGGGAAAAGTCTCTCCTCGTTTTTTCCCTCGTGTTTCTTTTTGCACTCGCTGCATACACGATTTAATTCGCTCCCTACCACCTGAACGCCTGGAACAGGCTATATTCTCTGACTTCCGATGGTCAAAACTATGGTTAAAAGATGTGCTTGCAGTATGCATGGCATAATTTTTATTGCTGCTATATTGATGACACCGTCTATTTGTCTATCATAAAAGGATATTGGTAAGGCTACAGTCTCTGTAAAGCCACAGTCCATAATAAGACCTGATGGTACGCCAAGGGTGAACAGAGCTAAGAGATGATGAGGTGCAAACAAAACTGAAGGTACCTGGTGAATGGAAAAGAAAGCACCGAGTATAAACTAGGGCTTCAAAATTAACCAATAAAGTCCTCAAAATGTCACAAGAACTCATTTTTTTATATTGCACATTTTTTATCTGTATTGTTTTGTTCAAAGCTACATGTACAACAATAATGACAGTATTTATTATCATTTATTTATTCAGCAAAACATTTTCGCAAAAGAGTGACGTTTCAGAGTTAATTACATGTAAATTATGCCATTACTAAACTTTTGGGGATTAATTTTTTATGGATAACAGTTTTTCTATTTTTTCTATAAAGTTTTCTTAAAAAATCTTTCTCAAAAGATGCTAGTACTGCAAGCTACTCATATAATTTAATAATTTTAGTACATTCATTTTTTAGCGTAAATGTACACAGACTTGTTTTCTGTTTGTTTCATTGAAAGGTTAATTATGTTCACCTCAAAGTGCTTGAAAAGAACTTTGGCGATAGCATTTCTCCAGAGAGTTGAGCAGAGGACAGACTCACAGATAATAACCCTTCTGTCTCGAGGGTTGACAAGAAGGTATCTAAAGAGGGAATGAGAAAAAAATTAAGCACAGAAATCATTTGGTGGAAAATGAATGAAAAATCACTTAATAAATAGCAAATTAATTTATAAACTTACATTGTGCATGAATTTATTTCATAATTATTAATACATGTATCTTATAATTCAGTTTATTTATGAGAAATCAAAGGCTGAAAATTGGAGAGCTGATGATGCTCAATGGGGAGCAAGGGATGGCACAGTGGTGCGAGCGCTCACCTCCCACCAATGTGGCCCGGGTTCAAATCCTGGCGTTGACACCATATGTGGGTTGAGTTTGTTGTTGGTTCTCTCCTCTGCTCTGCGAGGTTTTTCTCGGGGTGCCCCAGTTTTCCCCTCTCCTCAAAAAACCAACATTTCCAAATTCCAATTTGACCAGGAATCAGGTAGGTGAAGAACCACTTTGTGGATGTGCTACCTCCAAAATCATTATTTATTTATTTATTTTTAACTAAAAAAATATTAACTAATAGTTTTATTTTCTGTTATCATTGTCATACATTATTTAAGCATCAATATTATTATGGACTGATTTCCTAGACAAAACAATAACATTCAATCATGCATCCGCCATGTTTGGAAGTGCCTAGTCTGGGGGAGTGACTGAAGGAGAATGTCAGGCTACATTCTTAACTTACCGAAAATATATCTGATGGAGAAAGTCTCTTAAGACTGCATACAATTCATCAGGGTTTCTTTCTTGTTCATTGGTCACAACACTAACTGTCTCTGTCTAAATTTAAGACACAAGTCAACAAAAATCAACAATTTATTAATTGAGGTGAATTTTGATACATGCACACACCAGAAAAATATCTAACTGGTCACCTCTAACTTTTAAATCTGTTGAAAAGATAGCTTCGGAGTTACCAATAAAAAGAGCTCTCCTCTGTAGACTCTTACAAGGTATGAAAAATGTGAAGTGTACTGTAAGAAGATGGCAATAAATTGCATACTCATACCAAGGTCTCTCGATAATACTACCGAGTACTGTACTCCTGATTATATTGGTTAAATATTATCATGCACAAAATACTAAGAAAATGCCAAAAAATGTATTCCACAAGAGCAACGAAACACAAAGCATCGCCCCAGGAAAAATACCTATCATGAAATGCGTCGGACATATTGTTATAATAATTATTGACTACTTCTGGATATGAATCTAACTTTATAGCATACTAAACATTTAACATTTGGCTGCATACTGGTTGTGTTTCTATAGATACTGTCAGCATGAACTCAACTCACCTGTCCATTTATGGTATGTGTGAGTACACTACGGATGATGTGACGGGGACTTGTCTCGGAGGCAAAACCACATCTGAATAAAAGGGAGACAACAAAGTTTACATGTGGTGTACGAACATGACAGGCACATATAAAAATGATGTAAAACAAACACAAACTACGAAGTAACCTTATTATATAATGAACCCCATATAAGAAGTCCTAGGCAAAACGAAGAATATTCTTTGCCCCACAAAAAGTAAAATATATGAAAACAATTTGATATACAGTAACAAATCCTTGTAAAAGCAAATGCATTTGGTCAGTCCCTTGACCCACTGTTGTATCAAGGTTCCACTGTATATAGAACAATAGAATAGGAGTGTCTGGGTTTTATGGAAACTGTTGACGGTTGGTAACTATTGTTTTGTGGCATAGTTACTATGCAGTGCTTTGAATCTCTTGACTGGTGTCATTTAGTGATCACATTATTCACAACACCAATAAACTGCCCATGGAATGCAAAAACAGTAAAAAACACATAAGTACGCTACATGTTTTTGCACTTATCTTTATATATTATGTAATAGACCTTGTCACGCCATCTTGACGAGTAGGCAAATGCATGAGAAATTACAGTGTTTGTATGAGAATCTAATGTCGAATAATTTCCGTAAAATGGCTGTTCTGAAAAAAAAATCAATTGTAAACTGAAGCTACAAGGCAATGGATTGTCCTAAAAAATTTTGGGGCGTACCTGTGCTTAAATTTCTCCAGAGGCTTGCTTTAGATTTTCCATATATTTGTCTGTAATTTTCGCGGGACTTTCTTACAGACAAATGTACAGAAAATTTTAAAAAGTGGTTCTAGGTCTTCTAGTGCATGTAACGCCCTCAAATTTTTTCAGGAGAATCGTTAGGAGTGAAGCTTTAGTTTACAAATCATATTTTTTTCAGAACAGCCGTTCCACGGAAATTATTCGACATTAGATTCTCATACAAACACTGTAATTTCTCACGCATTTGCCTGCTCGTCAAGATGGCGTCGAAAACTGTGACAAGGTCTATTAACAATCACTGAATAAGGCTAAGAATGCAGATCAAAGTTGCTGTCAGTCTCAGTTGATGACACCCTAGTCGAATTGAGATCTGCATAATTCTGCACATCATACTAAGCCCAATTTAATAAATTTTTTGTTACTCAATCAGAATATGTCCAAACTTATAGGGAATTTATCAAGGGGACTTAAGCTGATCAGAAATTATGGAGAAATATTTTGCAAAATTTTAGTGATTGATTTTGACCCATTTTGCAATGGTTTACTGTTGTAAATGTTTAGAGGGAAACCACTCCCAGGAATGAATTCTCTACCCAAATGCTGTACAGTTAATCCTTGAAACCTTGATCACTGAACTGAACTGGAACCTTTGTAATATCAAAACCATCTTACTTTGTATAGGCTGCTCCGATGTCGATAACAACGGCAAGTTTCTCACTCCCAAGTCCAATAACGTCAAATAAAGGCATTATTTTCTATTCATTTCATCGAAAAAGTAGAAACTAAACCTTCATAGTATCAACACAGTATCAGCGACCCCCAGCAAAACAAGGCAATTCGGGCGACCACAAACAATAAGTCAGCGGATTGAAAAACAGTAGTTTTGTCATGTACGGTAAACGAAATATAGTGATAACCTTGTTCCCTCTCCCCGTGAATCTCTTATGTGACCTGTGTGGTTTCCGGTTAGTGGCTTCCTTCAAAATCAAAATGGCGGGAGAACGTGGAAAATTCGATGTCGTTGTTGTCGGATCCTGCATGACTGACCTCGTCAGGTTGGCAAAAGCAACGAGACAAACATTTCCCTTTATTTTGATGTGAACCTTTTCTGTCTAAAGATGTTGTTTTTCTTCACATCTCCAGCTATGTTCCACGTCTCCCCAAAGCGGGTGAAACCATTCATGGAACGAAATTCTCAATGGGATTTGGTGGCAAAGGGGCTAACCAGTGCGTAATGGCTGCAAGACTTGGGGCTAAAACCGCTATGGTTGCGAAAGTAAGTAAGCTTGTCAAGGACAGCGAGGTATTTGTTTGTTCCACAACAGTCAAGGTAGTAGCATGTGGAAGACTGCAGGAGGTGTGAATTAAACACAGTAACTTTGCCGGGTGACTCGAACGTCTAAATTAAGCTTAAATCTGCCATAATATTGTGCTTAGTATTGCTGATATCGGTTTTTTATAGTGATTTTGTTTTCCTCGATAAATACGTGTCTGAAGATATAATCACTTTATTTTACTGAACATTAAAAAAAAAATTGGAAGCTTAAGAGTTTTTGACCTTAAAATCAGTTATGTATTAAAGCTTATACTAGGCCGAACAATATGAAACGGTCCACATACTTCAACAGGAAAAAGAAATTTTAAAGCTCATTGTCAATGTTGACACGGATGTGGTTCTTTGCAGGAAATGAATGGACTAAAAAGCTTAAACGCGGCAAGCGTAAACATATTTCATTCTTGGTTTCATTTTGCCGTCGATTGCAAATCTGATAAAATTTTACTTTTGTGGAAATTTAATTGAGCGAATTAACTTCTTATGTGAACAATTTTAATGTTTGCTACTTCACTTGTGTCCAGACACTGAAGTGATCTTCAAATATTGAGGTTCAAGTTTAGCAAAATTGTGAGAAAATCGGATTCTCATTTTCGGTTTGTAGTATTTTGCATAAACGTATGCTGAACAAAGAATATCTCTTTATCACAAAGATTCCTTTTTAAACGTTTTTGTTTTCTAATAAAGCTGTTCAGGTTATTGCCATTTGGATTTAATTATTTCCCAAAGGTGCTGTTAATTTTTAAATCTGTTTTAATTAGTTTATTCAAATGCTAATTTCTGTTTTTGAAAACAGCTGTTATTTGGCTATACCTTGATACAGATGTAAAATGCGTTGTACATTTTCTATACACAAATTTCATGTTCAACATATTAACAGTCATGACTTTTTTCTTTTGTGGAGTGCCATGAAATAGACAATATAGTTAACAGTTAAAAGGCAATGAAACATTTCTTCCCTTCAGAGACAGGTTTTTATTTGAGTCAGTAAAATTATAGATAATGATGTCTGATTTCATTAATGTTAATTTCCTTAGATGTTGTTGTGGTTCAGTTGGTCATTGCAAGTCAATTTCCCACGTTTGTTTTATACCTAGAATTGACCACTGTTCAAACTACAAGTGGTACAAGCTCAAAATGCATTATTTTTTATAGTGGGTCAATCTAGCCTGCACAACAGATGGCATTTAACTCTGGTAAGTCCATCTGCAAAACAGAGCTGAAATCTTTGTTCTGGGTCCCCACCTGTGTATCAGAATTTGAGTACGCGCCATGATTGGCCAGTTAACCAACTGCCTCGCTTAAGTGGAAGGTTGGTGCCTGGGATACCTAGGGGCTTCCACTGTGGCCAGCCAACTCGTGGATAGCATACTGCCCCCATGGCTGGCAAATACCCTCAATCCAGCCATGAGCCCCCATTCCAGGCACCCGACACACTGATGAAACGGTGGAAGGAAGAAAAATAAGGGATGGGATGGGGGGAAGACACTAAATGAACCACTCCACAGACCACTGCACAAATGCTCAATGAAGAACTTGCAGATCCTAGCAATGTACAAAGCTACCATGTGAGCCTGCACTTATGGGATTGACTGCTGGATGCCCGCTAAGCTTGTGGACCGCTGGAATGCCAAGCTTGTGGTGGTTAACGTAGTTAAATTACATTTAATCAAATTTTAAAAAGCCTTCTTGGATTTGTCAAATTTGAAAAGCACTTCCTCTTACTTGTTGAGTCTGTAGTGGGCCTAGAACAAGGATCTCATGGGTGCTGCTTTGCAGATCACTACTAACCAGGGTTTGATAAATTCTGCGATGCAAGCCAGGGTCAGTCAAGTAGTAGTCCAATATAAGGATTAATAATAACTATGCCAGGGAAAAATTGACATGGTTATGTAACTTAATTTAAATGAGTACTGAATTAAAATTTTCCGCCTTTGTGGTTATCTGGTCCATTTTTGGTCACGGTTATTTAAGTAGTTTTCTATTCAACTGTAGAATATGTGGAACAAAATGCAGATTGTAAAACTACTAATTGATCAGGAAATTACACATTTGCTGACCTGCATTGCATGCATTTTCTTCAGGTGTGCTACTGCTTTTTCTTGTATAACTGCCTTGTTGAATTTAAGTTGGCATGTGTATTTCCTTGCATTTGCATTTTTCATGTGAAAAACACCTTATTTGCACAGCAGGAACATCTACCTATCCTGGACAATCTGACTGGACTCTTTTCAATCCCTGATTGAGTCTGGGGAAAAAAGGGTTTTAAATTTGTCAAGTTTATCTACACTGTAAATACCATTATTCAACTTTATTCAACGTGTTTAAATGTTTGCCTGAGAAAATAGCTTACATTTCATGACGCAACAACTGGTTTCTATGTGAAATTACATCTGACAAACGAGCACAGAAATTCCATGCTGATGATGCTTCATTACTACATGGGTATTGCTTCTGATTGGCTGAAACAAATTTCCCCACATGGCACGACTAATCAGAAGCTCTTCTCAGATCTGGGTAGTGACACATCATTAGTATGGAATTTATGTGGTCGTGACAGTCACAGACGTCATTTCATGGGGAAACCAATGGTGGCATCACAAAATGTTGGCTGTTTTCTCAGACTATTTAAATGGCGGTAATTATATCTTTTAGGTAGGTAATGATTCCTTTGGAGAGCGATACATTGAAAATTTTAAACAAAATGGAGTTAACACAGGTATGAGCTACATTTTACAGTTGAGCCTTTCTAATGATTGATTCAGTTGTTATTTTTATTGCCCATGATAAAAATGGGACATTCATTAACACCATTTAATCCGAAGTTGGGCACTGTCATCTCCGTAAATCTCATGGCCTTCTGTAGTCTGGTGTGGGTGGGGGAGGGGGTTGTATTGGATTTAGGGGATTGGTGCTCCTGTCAAAACGTCTGGGGACAAATCAAGTGTTCAAACTGTGCAGCCTGTACTGATATCCGTAGAGAACTTTATAACACAGTTGTTAATATAAGTCTTATCTTTCACTGTTGAGTGTTTAATGCCATATTAGTTGATTCAACAACAACAAAGCTAAAATGGTATTACATTTTTTTGACAATGAGCACTCTCTGCAACTATCAAGCTATTCAAGGTGGGATGTGTATGCAAAATAATATAGTTCAGATCAAAGCTTAGGGCAAGTTTACAGCAGTGTTCATTGAATAAAAACTTTACATAGCTGACAGAGGGCAGTGCTTAAGCAGTGCATGGTGGCCCCTGGCACCGAGCTTTTCCTTCTGGACAACTAGAAAATCTTAGAGTCAGTTATTTAAACGAAGTCTAACTTAGGCTGCTCATTGGACCTCCAGGTCTTTTTCTTAAGGGGTTAATTTAAGAAAGTAAGTGCTTTTCCAGACTGCACTATATTTTTTATTCAAATTGTTCATGAAAAATGGTGTTTTGATAAAAACGTTGGGCAAACTGAAAATGGCTTAGAACGAAGTTTTGTTAAACACCGGCTAAACTCTGTTTAAATAATTGGTCCTCAGTGTTTTCATAGACATCATATGCTGGGCACACTGGATTTCACAGGTTCACAACTCTGGGCTTCCTTCAATTCTTGTTAGAGTGCAACCTTGTGGGAACTAACTTAAAAACTGCATGAAAGCCAAATGAAACCAAGTAAATACAAATTGAATCAGCTGATTTGCTTATTTTCAACATTTTTAATTTTGGATGTGCATGGTTGAATAATGTCTTCTTGGTTGATGTTTTGCAGATCATGTGAGCGTAACATCTGAGGCATCTACAGGAGTTGCTCCAATTGCAGTCAATGCAAATGGTAACTACTTTATAATAATAATTATTGTGATTATTTGGCTCTTTTGCAATGTTACATGTGTTGAACACATTTGGTGATTCCACGACTACAAAACCATCAAATGTGTTAAGAGTTCCCATACATTGTAAGTCTCAGTTTCTAAAGCCTATCCTTAAGGTGAAATTAGCCTAAATTTACTTGCAATTTATTGTGGACATGATGGAGACTGAGCTAGTAACCTCAATACCAAGAGTCTAGCTATTATGGGGAGGTTTGTTTCACCCAATCATCGAAACTTCGTAGCTACTTGTAGAGAGTTCTGATATTGTGACTGGATGTCCTTTACTTGCATGTGAAGTGTCTCTTGTTAGAAAAAAGCAGGCATCACTGAATCATCTAGACCATAGCTAATTTAAGTGGAATGGTTGGGAAACCCTTAATGTCATAGTTTTAGTTAGCTTTTTTGGACCTGACTGTGCACAACGTTCAATAGTATTCCTATCATTTTGAAGTTATTGACCAATAGAAACATTGCATTAATTTATTCAGTCATAATTTGTGAACAGAAAACAACAGATTGGGCACGGTCAGGGAGCTTCCAACGTAAACTACAGCACCATTGTTTTCAACTTTGATGTTTGGCGGGTTTCCCAACCAGTCTCCTCTACTTACTGTGTCTAGACTGCTTGAGAAGTGAATTACCCTTAACGCTTTCACAGGAAAAAATAACAGATTCCCATTATTGGATATTTTAAGGTATTTATAGAATACCCATAAAAATCCCAAGAGACAAGTCCCAACCAGCGAATTCGCAACCAAGTTCCCTGGTTGGGACTTGTCTCACTCACTCTTCCAAATTTGGGATTTTTGTGGGTATTCTTTAAATACCCTAAATTATCCAAAAATGGGAATCTGTTATTTTTTCCTGTGTTTTTGACAGAAAAAAGGAAGATTAGTTTAAGGAAGTAGAACTTAGCAGTCTCTCTAGCAACAGTGGTTTTATTACTAACGGTATTGATTTTTACAGGAGAAAATTCTATTGTCATCGTCAGTGGAGCTAATGATATTCTGTCAGAAGATGATGTGAGAAATGCAAAGTCTGTGATATTATCGTCATCAGTTTGTGTTTGTCAGTTGGAAATAAAGCCTGAAGTGACACATTATACTCTTTCCATCGCAAAGAAAGCAGGAGGTATTTTGTGTATGCTGCAAGTCGTTATAAATCACTCTTTGCATGCATGGCCAGGTTAATTACCAAAAATCTTCCATTAAGCTCTACTCCCCAACTCACAACTTCCAAACTAAATTAATTAAGCATAAATGAAACACTTATTAACAAGTAATTAAAAGCACATTAGTTCTTCTTCCAGTATCATTCATATTTATTTATTTGATGTCGATTTTGGTGTTGTGTGGTTCCAAAAATTATCCATAC